GGGATTTAAAAATAGTTACGCAAAACGGAGCGTGCCCGCTCTGACCGGCTTTAAAGGGTTAAAGAAAGTGACTGACTACTAATATACTGCAGTAGATTATTATATTATATGTTACATAAGTTATCCATTTATTTATAATGCAGTAACTATTTTGTTGTTTTCTTTCAACAAATATTGAGAACATCCTCACCGTGTAGATGTGACTGAAACTGAAAGAGGCCCAGTCCCAGTACCCATCCCCGGCTCTCTGGGTGGTCACTGCCTCTTTTTGGCATGGCTCTGCTTGGTACACATCCAGACTCCTTGAGGTAAAATGGCACACTGGCGCACTGGCTGTGCAGTGGCTAACATCTCTCCTAGCCTCAGCAAGCAGTCCAGGTGCCACTAGTCTAAACACACATAAACAGACGGTATAGCTTCACAGGTTCAGGATAGCCAAAGCTGGATCTACGGCCAAGTCCACTTACAGGCCATGGGAGGATAAACGCACACTTTGGCCAAACACACACACACACACACACACACACACACACACACACACACACACACACACACACACACACGTGTATAGCCAAAACCAACCTCAGCCACTCTGTGGCCAAAGGCATTTAGAGCACAGTCCCACTCAGTAGGGAATCCCAATGTTTGGCTATCCATCTCTCTTGGTAAAATCTTTCTGAGCGGGAAAAGAGGGGGAGAGGGAGCAAAGAGGGTTTGAGTTAAGAAAAGCTGGACAATCAAATATTGCAGTGTTTAACACTTCATTTTCAATCCCTGCCGATTCCATTTCCCGCCAGCGTTAATTGCCGCTGTGCTACCTGCCACCAGTGGTTCTTTATGAAATGATTTCTGAATTGAAGCATATGGACGAGGAGCCGCAACGGGAGCCATGAATGGCTTGAGGAAGGGTCCCATTAAATAAGAGCCAGCTAATTACTTTGTCCTCCCTTTTTGTCCTGCACTATCCAGGCTCTCGCCGCTGTTCATATATCTTACTGTAATGAGTAAAGCCAGGGCCTGGCACCTGTGCTCGGTAATTAAACATATAAATTCTCCCCTCACGGAAATATGTGTACTCACCAGGACTGATTTATAAAGGTCTCTAAATTGCACCGTTGAGCTTATTTTCTTGGCTGTTATGTTTTTTTCTTTTAAAGGGTCTGGAAGAATGAGAGTTATTCATCAGATCAACAATGACAAGCTTGATCTTAAAAAAACAAAAACAAAAAAACCTGCAAAATGTCTTCTCTAAGAATTCAGATTCCCCTCTTTCCACTGTTACTTTTTTTTGTAGGTGAAGGTGGTGATACTGGGACTGTCAGGCAGACCTTTTGGAATCAGAAATGTTAGCTGTTCCAACCTCACAGCCAAGAACGCCAATGAAAAATGTCCATATAAAAACATACTGTGATCAGAAACAGATCCAACCAAAATAGGTTTATGACTCATTTACGAACCCCCTCCTCAAAAGTTACGTATACTGTACTTTATGACAGACAGAAAGCCATGAAATCGCCAGTTTTCACCTCATATTCCCTTCCTGCATTCTTATTTAAAGCCTTGTTTTGCACTTACATAGTTGTCCATTATAGATGAGCATTTGTGTGTTAAGGTAGCTGTTAAATGATTTTGATTTCTTTCACTGCATTAAAAAAAATTCCCAGGTTCAAAATAAGTCCAATCTTCACAGTTTTATGATGCATTTGCTTATATTCAGTTAAACTTATAAAGCTGTAACCATTTACAGATACAAAAATCGTTTTTTCCCGTCTCTTGTTCTAC